ACGTCTCGCATAAGCACGTGCTGCACTTGCCCACCGTCTTCCACCACCTGCCGCACCTGCTGGCCCAGGAGAGCAGCCTGCAGCCGGCAGTGCGCGTGGGCCAGGGCCGCACGGGAGGGGGGGGCGGGGCCGGAGGGCCATTCGCAGGGGTGGGCGGCCCGGTGGCCAGGCCTGAGGACCCCTGCTCCCCGCAGTGTCGGTGGTGATGGGCATCCCCAGTGTGCGGCGCGAGGTGCACTCCTATCTGACGGACACACTGCACTCGCTCATCTCGGAGCTGAGCCCGCAGGAGAAGGAGGACTCGGTCATCGTGGTGCTCATTGCCGAGGCGAGTGGCGGGGCGCGGGGCCGGGACCCACTCACAGGGGGACACCTGGCACCCAATGACTGAAGGAGAAATGGAACCGGCAGCATCCCGAGGGGAGAGCTGCCAGTTACCTGTCATTCACAAATTTATCAAGATAAAAAGTTCAGAGATTTTAGCGCCCCCTCGTGGAGATGCCGTTTACCTACTTGCCCCACCCCCAGGTACCTACCCAAAGGGCTTTTTCTGAGGCCCCACCGCCCAGCCTCACTGAGCCCTCGGGATCGGGGCTCCCTCCCTCCGTGCGAGGCCCGCGCCCCTACCCCTGGCCCCTTCTTCCAGGCCATTGGGCAGCAGTCCTGCTTAGGGTGGTTGCTTGGTCTCCCCACAGACTGACCCGCAGTACACCTCGCTGGTGACAGACAACATAAAGGCCTTGTGAGTACTGGCAGCGAGGAAGCTGGTGGGAGGAGGGCCCTGGGTGGCGACAGTGACCTGAGGAGGGTGCCGCCCTGTGGGCTGGAGCCAGTGGGCATGTAGAGGTGGCCCAACCCCTCCAAGCCCCGTCGCCTCTGTGATGGCTGCCGGTGGGCCTTCAGAAGGGACAGGGTCTGGCTGCTCAGCTCTGCCCTGCTCCGGGCCCTGGAGGCTGCACACCCACTGGGCCTTCCTGTCCTCCAGGTTCCCCACAGAGATCCATTCCGGGCTCCTGGAGGTCATCGCCCCTTCCCCGCACTTCTACCCTGACTTCTCCCGGCTCCGAGAGTCCTTTGGGGACCCCAAGGAGAGAGTCAGGTACTAGCACTGCCCCTTTCCAGGTCCCCCAGCAACCTTCCCTCTGGCCTGTGCTGAGGGCCCAGGCCGCTGGCTGTAGTGCCTCCGCTTCTCCCCTGGAGGACCCCTGCATGGGGTGGGGGCTACGCGCCAAGCCTGCCGGGGTAGCCGTACTGGAGGAGGGGGGTCTGAGCTCCCAGGCCCTGCCCCTGGCCCACAGGTGGAGGACCAAACAGAACCTCGATTACTGCTTCCTCATGATGTACGCGCAGTCCAAAGGCATCTACTACGTACAGGTCAGCACCGGCCCTGCTCTGCGCCCTCCCCAGACCCTGGCGGGGCCTGGGACATGCATGCCGCCCTGCCCTGGGCCCATCCTGAGTCCCAGGCCCCTTCTGCCCCTCACGGTGCAGCTGGAGGACGACATAGTGGCCAAGCCCAGCTACCTGAGCACCATGAAGAACTTCGCTCTCCAGCAGCCTTCAGAGGACTGGATGATCCTGGAGTTCTCCCAGCTGGGGTTCATTGGTGGGTCCCCCACCCTCATCCCCCTGACCTGAACAGAGCCCCTCAGTCTCTCCCGCCCCCTCTCCCGCATCATAACCCTCCCA